ATAGCCAAATCTTATTAATAATATTTTTTCTCCTTGTACAATGTTACACGCCAACATTATTTTCTCTTTGTAAGCATGGTGGAAAATCCATTTTTCATGTAACATAATAATTTATATTGTTAAAGTAGAAATATTTTATTGAGAAATAAAAAAAAATTAAAAATGCGAAATTTTTGGGTTATCAATTTTGTATAATTAATTGGATAGCCTTGAGATTTTTTTATAGCATCTATTCTCCTAGGCACACTATCAACTAAATTTGTCAATGTCTCTATGTCAATTTGGTACCATTCTTCTTCCAGGGCAGCAAAACGATCATCTTCCTTCTTTATTATGTTTTTCTATAATATTATATATTGTTCACAATGGTATCCCAAGTCTTTTGCTTATTTCTGACTTGCATACATCACATTTCCAAGCACAAATTACCTCTGCATGCTCAAACAACAGATAATTCTCTAATTTTAGTCATCTGATTTAAATATATGATTTTTTGTGAAAAACAATTTTGATAAATGTTTGTATTATGTATTATTCGATCAATATATATATATATATATTTCAAAGCATGGCCATTATTCTTGAATAGTGGTGAGTTTTCCAGCCAAATACGGAAGACCATTGCAAAAAATTCCAAGAAACAAAAAATATGATGGATTATGTCATTCACCAGTTCCATTGAATTTATATACATAGAAACTGTCACTGCCACAGATCAGAGTTGGCAAATGTGTATCCATTGGTGGTCTATTGGTGGTCTATTGGTGATCCATTGGTCCATTAGTGTAACATTTCAACTATATCTAGTATTTTATTAATGGCAATGGACCAGTCAATTTGCCAACTCTGCCACAGAAGCAACCAAAAAAATGAAAAGATTTACCCAAATTGCATGAAGCCATATCTATTATGTTTCGACAACTGGTAGCCTCCTCCCACTTCCAATGTGAAATGAGGTCAAAAATATACCAATATTAGCTCTTCAATTTTGTGGTGAGTAAATTGACTTTGAATTATTATTTGTCATCATGTTGTAATAGGACTAACAGTAAAAACATTTTTACCAACTTATGTGGAAGGAGTGTGACATCCTTGGGTTTTAAAATTTAAAGTTCTGGGACATACAAGCCTTACCCAAACTCATAATCGCAACATCATACATGCTAACTTTAAGGGCAAGTTAAATTATTTGTAATCAGTTGATTTATATTCTATAAATGACTGATTTTAAATTGTCTTTATTCTTTGAAGGATCGTCTAATAGAATTACATGAATCTTATTAGAAAAGGCACATAACTCACTTTTACAATATTGAACTCAATGATTTATCTAACGTATGGGTGATTTCTAGAAAAATGTGGTAGAAACATAGAATAATTTTTTTTTGTGAGTAACAGTCCTTGCAAAATTGTGTTTTTGATAAACTCAATTCTGGTCAGAGGTCCCTAACCACATATTCATAGCAATCCCCCATATTAATAATATAAAATTGAAATTTATTTTCATCCAATTTGCTTCT